TGTTGATATAATTGGGTTATATAATTACACTTTCTTAATTAACTTTCATTTTTTTTTCTTATAGAGCATTAAGATATGAAACAAGAACCCTTACTAAAAATGTTGCCAAAAAATTAATTCAGGTTATTTGTAATATCCTTTATGTTATTTACTTTCTGCTGCATTAAGATTAGACTTTTTGCTAATCTTTTTTGATGTTTTAACATTTTTTTATTGGATATTTAATGGAATATTTTTTCTGCTTTTTCTTTTTTACTAAGAAACTAGATTTTCTTATTAAAATAGTATTGAAATGCTTCCTTTGGTATGCTAAGCAAGCTAATGTTGTTAAGTGCCATTTTGTCAATGGAGGTGTAATGGAACTCTTGCTTTTTGATGGTTAACTTTGGCAACCAGATGAGCAAATATTTTCCATGATGTTATTTTACTATTTTAGGTGCATTTTTAATATTTTTTCAATAATTAGTACTCTATTTAGCAGTACTTTGTAGTTTCCATATTCGTTTTGGTACTTTATGATTCTGTTGATAATTTAAATAGGTTTTACTTTAGTTGTTTTGCTTACTTTTATGTTACAATGTTCTATAAGCTCTCCTTATTTCATAAGGTTTTTACTGCTTTCATGTTTATTGTAATTATTCTATTCACTCAATGAAAATAGGATTCAATGATAGATAATTAATTTCTACACTGCATGAAACTTCAAAACCTCTTAAAAATGGAGTTTTTATTTCATGTATAATATAATGAAAATAAAATAAGCATTTCATCAAACTTTTGTCCTATATACACAACCTACAAAAATGAGTCCCTAACAAGTTTGGATTCAATGTTGTAGCAGTGATTATTTTTTTTGGATCTGATATGCCTAATACTTATTTATCCCAAAATAATTTAATGAGAAAAGCAATAATGACATTCATAAAAGACATACTGAATTGATGGAAGGGTTTAAAAAATTCAAAGGTCAATCTTACTCTATTTCCAATATTTGTCAAATTCTATTTACTTTAACTCATTAGTTACACATTAATGGATTTACATATTTGCATTAATTTAATAAGAATCAATAGTTCCATCTCATTACCTCAGTGGTTGGTGATTTTTCATCTGATTGTGTGTTTTAGTTAATATTCCAAAAAAAAGTAGGGACTACGGCATTGTGCTTAGAACTTTGGCTGTGTTCTGAGTTTCTTTCTTCAACCAAGCTAATTTAGCCTAACTTTATCAATATTTGTTGTTTGGTACTTATTATTTAAAAAAAAATATTGTTCATCTAATTAAGAAGCTTAACATCTTCATATATTGTTCTTACATTTAACTCAAGCTCTACTTCATAGGACAAAATTATTACTTCAATATATGGCCGGTCAATTCATGGCATGGATTAATGGCGACCCTTTATTTTCATGTTACCAAATATCAGGTTTTATTCTTATTGGCTTATGTACTTTTATGGGTTAATGGAATTGCAGAAGTTACTACACAGTATCTCATAAAATAATATATTACTCAAACTATTAAGAGCAGCTTTTAAAGGATTTCATAGTTGTATGTAATATTTATGCTCTATTTGGGATAGTTATCTTATTACCTTTTTTTTTCAGATCATAAACCTAATTTTATTTGTGTATTATTTTTTTTACTACTTTTAAGATATATGATAAAAATAATGAAATATAGTGAAATCATTATGTTTAAAATCTATTTTTTGTATTTTTAAAATAGATGTTCTTGTCATATCTCATGATTTAGTTATATATTGATCTCATGTGGAGATCTTTTGCATGTTTGAGGATCTTTTGATTTGGTCCTATTTTTGAGGTTCGTCTGTGTTGTAAAATATTAGCTGCTTTTTCTTTTATCTAGTTGTAATTATGGCGGAAGGGAGAATAATATTTAGTTTTTAGTTTGCATCTTTTGCATTCTTAGTCCAAATTTGTAAGTTTTCCCTAGTACTTTTTGGGTTGGAAGGTTTCATTTTTTAAATTGTAATTTTGTAGGTTCTATTTTGTTGCTATAATTGTTTATAGTAAAGGTTTTTGATTTTACATGCTTTATGTAACTTTCTCTTATGAGCAATGAAATGGCCTTTACCCTTAATTTTCTCAAAAAAAAAAAAAAAAGTTGGACCTTATATATATGTAGATATTCATTTTGATGACAAGTTAATAATTTTCTTTGTTGAAAAGACACAGTTTTTTTTTTTTTGAAGAAATGCTAAAAATAGCATTAAAGAAAAGAACAAGCCACCAAACTACAAATCAGAGTAATCCTAAAGCATCACATTCCTCCTTCAAGCAATACAAGAAAGAAGGAGGAATGGAAATATCTTGAAGATTTTCCCAAACAAAAGATCCTTCAAGAGCCAAATTAGCACAAATATCAGCTAATTTGTTCCCATTCCTAAAAGAATGAGAAAAAAGAACTTGTTTAAAATCAGTCAAGAAAGATAAATTTTCATCAATTTGCCTACTAACCTTCCAACCTTTTATCGAACTCTTTAGCAGTTTGATGATATTAAGATTGTCTCCTTCAATGATCACACCTTGAGCTTCTATCATCCATCCTTTGATCATGTTCTTTATGTTGAGAACTGCCAATAACTCTAATAGAGAGATGTCCCAGTGTAGGGAATTATTGCCAAAAGCTAATAAGAACCTCCCTTTGTCATCACGGATTACTCCACCAATTCCCGCCAAGTGGTTTCTTTTAAGAGCAGCATCAATATTAATTTTAACCCATCCAGAGGGAGGAGGATGCCAAGTTGAATTCAGCCTTAGCTGGTTAGCATCCCAGTGTTCCTTTCGGGTTATAATAAAATTAGTTCTCAATGCAAAGGAGATAGCATTGGCAGCTATGATGAAGTCAGAATTTTCTCCCTTTCCATGAACGAGCATACACCTGCTTTTCCAAACTAAAAAGACTGTGTTGCAAAGGATGTTACCTAAAAGCAAATCTTTCCCCATCTCATGTTGTAGGCTGTTCCGGCAATCTTCAAAACATTGGAAAACAGGGATGTTAAAACCCCAACTTCTTAGAATATTAGTAACTTTTATCATCTTGGAGCATCTCCCAATTATGTGGTTGATATCTTCATTTTCTTTACAACCTCTAGGACAACCCGCACAATCACAGAGTTTCCTATTGAACAAGAAAGCTTTGGAAGGAATTGCATTATGCCGAAGTCTCCACCAAAAGAATTCTATTTTCGGTTTCAATTTAAACTTTTTAAGCCACTCCCAATTATTCACCTCCTCTTCATGGTCTAAAACAGCATCATAAGCCAAAGCCGTGATGGATTTCCCAGAAATTTTGTTCTTCAAGACAACAGAATCATGAATCAAATTAATCTTGATAGGGATTTCAAGAATGGTATTAATAAGATGCTCACCGAAATAAGTTTCCAATTTAGTAGTATCCCAATTGCCATTGGTAATAAAAGAGTCAAGATGGTCTTCATGATTTTTATGTATGTTAATAAAAGTCGGCCAAGATGCCAAACTTTTATCTAAAATCCAAGAGTCATGGATCCAATTGATAGAACAGTGAAAATCAGATGCTACCATTCTTCTTAAGGTCATTTTAATCCCAAGATAGTTCATCTCCTTGACCACATTGAATTCAAGAATGTTGACAACTTTATCTTGGGTCTTCTTTTTTGTATTTTTAGCAAAAAGAATCATAGATTTAGCAGAATTAACTTTCTGTCCCGTCCAGCTACAATAGTTGCAAATAATGTCCTTCAATTCTTTCACCTCTTTCAACTTTTCCTCCTCAAAAATAAGAATATCATCCGCATAGAGCAGATGAGAGATCTTCGGTCCTGAAGTGGAAATAGAAATTCCTTTCCCCTTCCTTCTCAAGGATAGAGCATCCGAAAAAATTTGAGCACATAAAATGAAAAGAAATGGAGAAAAGGGGCAACCTTGCCTAAATCCACATTTCCCTTCAATCCAATTAGTCTTCTTGCCATTAACAAATATGCAGTATTTTGGATCAAAAACACAACTCAATAAAAGCTCCATAAATTTAGTGGGAAAGTTAAATCGAATAAGAACTTGCCTGAGTGTTTGCCAAGCCATACTATCATAGGCCTGTTCCATATCAAGTTTGACTGCTAGCATCCCTTTTTTAGACTTGGACCACCTGAATTTGTTGAAAACTTCATGAGCAATGAGGACATGATCTGCTAGAGATCGACCTTTAATAAAAGCTGCTTGGTCAACCGTGACGAGTTTAGGGATAATTTTCTCCAATCTGCTTAACAACATTTTAGCTACAATTTTATAAATGGTCATACATAAACTTATAGTACGGTAATGAGCTCCAGAGGATTTTGGATTTTTGGAATCAAAACAATCAAAGTCTATTTCCAAGCCTGATCCATAGTACCATGTAAAAAGAAGTGATTCACTGCTGACCACACATCATCTTCAACTGTATCCCAAAAGTCTTTAAAGAAAGAGAATGAAGAACCATCCAATGCAGGAGATATGCCTCTAGCTGAGCTTTTGATAACCTTCCTAAGTTCTTATTTAGTGAAATCTGCCATGAGAAAATTGCTGTCCGGATTGCCAATGGTCCTTGTTGTGTTCGACAAATTCTCCAGTGAACATTCCCTATACTGCCACTTTAGATTGTAAAATTCTGAAAAAGTGTTCTGGATAACATTCACATCTTCAGAGATAATCCCCTCCTTAGTCTTGATATGATTAATCCAATTGAAGTTCCTTCTAGCATTAGCAAATGCATGTAAAAAGGAAGAATTACAATCACCTTCATCCATACATTTCACTTTAGCTCTTTGTCTCCACCAAGTGTTAAGTCTAGCTAAAGTGATATTGAGATCATTGATTTTAGATCTCAAAATATGAAGTTTTTCAAAAGAAATCCAACCCTCATCTTCTTCTTTTTGAATTTTCTGAATTTCAAACTTTAATCTATCTCTAAGGGAATTAAGCTCTAGGAACTTTGCCATGCTCCAATAGAATAATCCCCTAAGAGTTCTTCTCAATTTCAGTAAAGGAAGCTTGTGGATCAGCCAAACTTTTCTTGTTCCATAAGTTCTTTACCAAAGCCGTCGCCCTGTAATAAGTAGCCCAGGTTTCTTCATAACGAATATCTTTTTGCATCTTCTCAATCAGCTTGTAGATATTCAGTAGTAAAGGGCAATGATCCGAAGCTATGCGAGATAAGTGCTTAAGAAATGCAATTTGTAACAAGTTTAAAGCTGATGAATGGATTAAACACCTATCAAGCCTCTCCAATATACGAGCATTGCCATTCTTGTTGTTACACCAAGTGAACTTAGAACCCATGGACTTAAGTTCATGTAAATCATTGGCAATCATAAAATTTCTGAAATCCTTCGAGCCTTGATCAAGGAAAAACTTCTTTCCTCATCGTTTCTCCTCTTCTGATAAAACGCAATTGAAGTCTCCTCCCAAAATCATTGGAAGATTATTAGAACAATGCTTTTCCAGATCTTTCCACAGGTCTCTCCTTAGCTGCATAACTGTGCTGCCATAAACTGATGCCACCATCCAGTTTCCTTTACCGTGAACAATCAAATTTCCCAAAATCATTTGAGATGTAGCTTCCTTCACCACAAAGTCAGCTAGATCAATTCTCCACAGCACCATTAAACCACCAGATAAGCCCGTTGCTGGAACAGAGAAAAAATCCCAATTTCTACCCAATAACTTCAACAGATGGTTATTATCAAGAGAATTGATTTTTGTTTCTAACAAACCAATAAAGAACACCTTATGGTCTTTAATAATCTCCTTAAGGCAGAGGGCAGCCTCCATTTTTTTGGCCCCTCTACAATTCCAAAATAATAAGGAAGTCATTGTTTGGTAATGGGGTTCACACCCCTCACCTTTTTAGTTTTTTCACTTCCCCCCTTCCTATTATGAGGGATGACATTGCCCGATCCCAAAGATTTGAGTTCTTTCAAAAGCTTGGATTTCTTCTCATTAGAATGAATACCTTTTTCACAAGAGGTGGACTCGGGACAAGTCTTGACAATAATTTGAGAATCAGCAGAATGCTTATTTGGACCTTCTCTGGTTACAGGAGCTGATTCCCGAATCTCTCCCTCCTCGAAGCCTTCATTTTCATGCACCTTAATAGCTTCAGTCTCCTTCTCCTTAAGATCTTCCAAGTCTGTTAAGACAAAAAACTTGTTGGGACTTGCAACACTATCCTTGACTTCCATAATTGTTTCTATAACACCTTAAGCTTCAGTTGAAATAATAGCAGAATTATCTGTTTTCTTCACTTCTGGGATACCAAGGATTTCATTAGCTTCTCTATGATCTGAAGCCAGCTCCCCAACCTTATTTGAATTCGAAACAACAATTTTTGGCACAAAAACCTTCTTCATGAGAATAGAGTTTTTAACACTAAAAGACCTCTTGTTTCTCAAGTTTTTTTTGAACTTTCTTCTACCATGACTCACAGTGATCCAGGGAAAAGACACAGTTACTATAATACATTTAGATTTTTATATTTGACCATCTCTTTAATGTGCAAGTTAAGAAGCATTTCTCTTCATTTACTGAGTATATATACCATCTTTCATCCTTTTCTAGCATTCTTTTTTCGCAGACAATCATCTTGGAGCTGGAGATGAGACACTCAGGTTTTGGAATGTTTTCCCATCTCCAAAGTATCACATTTTGGAATTGTGTTTGAGCAGAGAGTGTGATATGTACAAATTCCATATATATTTGATGGTATTGACCATCATGATTGTTATGCTAACCAAAAAATTGCATTCTTTGTTGAAGGGTTGAGTAATTTTTTTTAATTCTTAGGCACTATTCAATCGATGAGAAACTGACACTAAGTGTTTTTCTATAGATCAACATGAAGGGGCTTGATGGTATTTAAGGACCAATTTATGTTGGAACTAGATGTGTTTTATGGACGGAAGCATCTTATGGTTTCGTTGCTCTTAAAATGAAGAAACAACCTACAAGAACTTGTAACTACATACCCAAGTGGTTCTACTGTTACATTGGGAGAGGAACAAGAGGAAGAAGAATTCAAAACCAAGCAAGAAAAGTAAATGAAAACTTTTAGGGGGGAGAGTGGTTCACCTACATTAGCTTTTGTGGTTATAGAGGATGGAATTAAAGGTAAAATTGCACTCAGGGTTCCTACATGAAAAATATGACTTAACAATGTTGTTTAGGTATATTTACTATTATTTAAATTTCTAGGAAGTTTTATAATATTATATTATTCTTCTTATGTGAATCCATCAATTTTGTCTTTCTATGTTACTTTGTCTTATTCTTTTTTTTTTTCCTATTTCTTTTTATGACTGCATTATCAGTTCAAAGCATAGATAATCCCTTTAGGAGTACGCAAATGAATTGGCATTTGAAAGAAAAATCCAACAAATAAAATAATTGATTTGTATGGCGTTGTGTTTGTTTACAATTTTTTGGTTATCCAGACACATCCTTTGGAGCCCTAGAAGGCCAAAGTTAAAGTTAGGTTTTCCAACTACTATCTTATTTATCTCTAATTACAAGTTTGGGGATGCAGGACAAGGGCAAGGGCAGCAAAAAATGGGGTTGAGCCAAAGGCTAGAAGTGGAAGGAGAGTTGCAATTTCATAAATAACCTAGAATCAATTATTCTTAATTCCTCAGAGCAACAACTCCACCTACACCACTGCCCAGGTCAACTCTAATTTAGCCTAACTTAAATCATAGTAAAAACAACTCACACGTTATTAAAAAATTGCTCATTAAAACCTTGAGATATGATATGTCAAATCCTTTATATTTGATCAACTTATCTTTTGTAGTTAAATATGCTTATTCTATTGTATAGAAATTATTTTGTTGTTGAAAATTTTAAATATATGTGGTGGATTATTTGACATTCCTCTTGCAAATGTCTAGCATTAATAAGATATAAGAAATCAATGTATTCATAATAATAATTTTATCAATTAAAATTTCATTTTGTATTTTCAGATGCAAACTTGAGTGGATAAAAATGATTTTTGGAAATAGAGATCCCATGACTTGGTTGATATTGTGTAAGGAAATTTCCCTCATAATAAGGTTACTTTTTTGGATTTTTGTGTAATGTTTTGTGAAGGCATTTATTGTAATAGATTGATTAGGTACAAATATGAAAAGTGAAGTAGAACGTCTGTTATATTTAAGATGGAAAATTCTTGTAATTTTAGTATGAAATAAATTTTTAATTTGAAGAAAAAATTATTTTGTAAGATCTCATATGTACGTGTGATTTTTAGAAATTCTAGTGGAGACTAATTATTTATAATTGAAATATTATGAGTTACCATAATGAATTTATAATTAAATGTAATTTATATTTGATATAATATATATTTAGGCACATAGTAGTGTCATTTTATTAAAATCATTTCATAAAATATAAGTGTAGTGAAATCATATATATTAGGGAAACTTAAATATGTCTTATTATTAAACATGTTCTATGAAATAACTATGCTGGGAAAGCTTACCTATTATGACACATAATATTTATCATATTTATTCACAAATTCCATCATATGAAGGTGTTTGGAAAGCTTACATATAAGGACAATTTATAGCTTTCGTTAATGAGACAATACCATTAAACTTATATTGCATGAAAGTTAAGTTTTTAGGGCCTATAAATATGCCCTAAATACTATTCCATTGGCCACCTAAGTGACACCATTGCTTGGTGCTCCAATACATCATCAGCCTTATATATACATATTATGGCATTTTAAGGTGGTCTAATGGCCATTATTATTTTTAGTGAATTAAATTAATCTCTTTTCTTCAAGTTCCATTAGTTTGAAATTTAATTCTTCTAACACCAAATATGCTTTCTATTCTAATTCTAAAGAAAAGTGGCATGCCATTAGGAAAAGTAAATGATAGGGAGACATACTAATGGGAGACTTGGTGGAACTTATCTATGTGATGCTTAAGAATTTTCTTAGTATTATGACTTTATGTTCTATATGCTTCCAAATAACGCATATTTACGTATTGATCAAGTAATAAAGTGTATGAGAGAGTAATGTTCCTATGAAAAAAATACTATGCAACAAGTAACTCTATTATTATCTACTCAAGATATTGAATTCATCCCATGTATTTAAAGAAAGGGTAGATTTCATAACCACAAAGAAATGCAGAAAATAGTTAAGAAACATAGAATTAAAGTTATTTGAGGCTAATGATATTAAATGAACTTATGTATACATAAGAAAACTCATTAATAAATGTTTTGGATTAAAGCTTATGCAACCATAGATATTTGTTAATGTTATAAGAGTGTAAAGAAAGGTTTTATTGCCATTCTACAATGATCCTATATCCATAAAATCTAATATTCTAGTCATTCTATGTTTATGAATGAAAACATTCCATCTCAGTTCTCTTAATTGTTCTAACATTCCTTCATTGAGAAATTGTATCACACTAGATTTTAACTATATACATGCCCATTGCATTTATTAAATAAAGCATGAGAGAAATTGAGAACAAGCATTCTCATTTGCGTACAAGAGTTTACATTAGGATATACATAGATTGTTCACATGATCTATATAAAATAAGGAGTTTTAGTGAGACATAGAAATAAATTGGAGATAAACACATTTAATTTATTGCTTAAGAAAAATTACAAATAGAAAAGATGAAAAAATATCACTAGAATTGATGGAATTTTCCCGGACATAATCCCTCCTTACACTTTCACTCTCCACACTTCTGTCCACTATAAAATGTTTTTTCTATCACTACATAGACATTATCCATTCCACTAGATGTAACTCACTATCCCCTAGTCTCACTTATAATGCACTACTATGATTCTAAAGAAAAGAATTTAAACCTATTTATAACATAAATAACTTAGGTGCCTCGACGCTCGACAAAGTGATTAAAATATAAACTTGCACCACGGAGCTAATTGATTGGTTCTTTTGTATCTTTAGGAACACCCCACATAAATTTTGGCTTATCCAATGAGATACTTCTTTCATTAGGTACTCCCCTATTACGCTATAAAAACATGGGCATCAAGATGCTTGATCCATCATCCGGGTCCATGGTGCTTTAGTGGTTGGTGCTTTAGTATTAAATTATTTACAAATTTGATAGAGCATAAAGCTCTTAGTTATTCCTCTAATGGCACTGAGGTGCTCATGGTGCAGTGGCACTAACATTAATTTCTATCGGGATACTGAATTAATATCAATTATTTTGTAAGACTCTAGTGTTGCAATGTTTGGTATCAGCATCAAATGTTAAAGGCATTACGAT